GACACCATCAACTTCCCATTTCACCATCATTGGCTTCTTTGATGTGACTTAGTGTTGACTCTGTGTACCTGTGAAACTCCATGACATTGGGTAAGAGGGGTTTATCATGTCATATGTGAGAGAATTTAGAGTAACAGTACTCCACAATCATCCACAACTTACTGCCATTCCCCAGCTGTAACCTGCATATGCATCAAACCAAAACCCAGTACCACAGCCACATGATAGACATACAGATGAGGTTAAAGGGCTGTGTCATGTTGCCAGATAGCTTCATCCCACAAAATAAACATTCTTCAAAAAACAAAGGTTGTAAATATTTGCTGTATTTACAAGCACATGCAAACAAACAAGACAATAATAAAAGAAAGAAATGTCAACATTTTACAAATGATACACTGAATGTAAAAACCAAATATGAGCACAACTCCACATGTACAATTGTCACTGCATATAAACATGACAGATGACATATTAAAAGAAGTAGAAACATATAATATACAATATGATCTGAAGCTGGTACTGGTGTATTTAAATTCCTTTTCTTACCCTAATCATCTGATACAAGATGCTACTTACTTTTTGTGCAGTATTTACCTTAACATGCACTATGGTATAATAGCCCACTCACTTCTATAGTGCTGGTGATGTAGACAATAATGTCAGTTGATATGTAAAACTAGGAGAAGTAGACCACAAATGGGAGATATCGAGTGCTGGGAACACATTCTGTCTGATATTATTAATCTATCAGATTCTTGAATGTTTTATGTACTTAAGCCACAGTTAGAGAGTGAAACAGAGACTGACACTGGCTGAATGTGTAGTAAATATTTTATTTTGAACTTTTATGAAGAAATACAAACTTTGAACTTTGAACTCTGGGCTGCTTTACTGTGTGTAATATTGCAAAGCACACTTTGCCTTTGTCAAGCAAACAACAACAACAACAATCACACACGCACACACAAACTCACAAACGTATAAAAACGATCACACAAAGAGGGACACAGAGGATTGAGACACAAGAGGAACCTAATGGACAAGGACCCAGAAAGGGAAAATCTACCACCATTCGCAAACGTCGGTGTCGATTATTATACAGCAATAAAAAAGTTAATCCAGATACACACTTCAAATGTGAATTTGCGTTTCATCTCATGTTTTCCATCGTTTGTTTGTTTTTGTTTTTTTAAAACACTAGTGCTGTAATATCAATTCAAATTAGAATAAAAAATAAATAAATAAAGAGACGTACGAAACACTGTGGATGTGCTTTAATGTACTAGAAATACTACTCACCATCAGTTACAAATGAAAGAAATGAAGAAAGCTCGTTTTTGTCACAGGCTGGTATTTTGAGTTTTATGCCCGTTTGTATTATGTTCTGGTTTGTATAGTAGAGACTTTAACCTTCAGTTAGTTCTATGGTTGTGTTCTCTGTTTCCCTGTTTAGTTTTATCTGTTTAGGTTACTCTCATGTCTGTGTCTCCCCACCATGTTTGTAGCATCGTGTCTTCAGCGTGTGTTTGTTGTGTCCAAGTCTCCCTCGCCTTTGTGTGTCCCTGTTATGTCTTTGTGTCTCGTCTGCCTGTTTCGTCCTTATGTTATCCTCCCTGTGTTTCATTCCATGTCTGTCATGTGTATCCATGTATATTTCCCCAGCTAATCTTGTCTCGCCCTCTCTCTCTCGTGTCCCCTCGACCCCTGTGTCAAACTCGTGTTGTCACAGTCCATGTCTCACTATGTCTCCTGATTACATTTTTACAAATATATTATACAAATATAAATACACAATGTATCGACAACCACTGCACATGTAAGAAAAATCCACAGATACATAAATCAGCAGTCATATTGCAGTGTGTGTTGAGAGAGAGAGAGACGAGAGAGAGAGCGAGAGAGAGAGAGAGAGCCCCCAGGAGCCAGAGGCATCCAGAGATGGATGCACATGCAAACAGATGAAGTTTACTAAAGAACAGAGCATGAACATACAGAACCAGGGGTAAAAAATAAAATAATTATATGAGTATGCGAAAAAAATTCACATACATATATATGTGAATTTTTGAGGCTCTCAGAACAATAGAACTTTTTGTTGGTTGAGTCTGATATTGATTGTATGTACTATTCCATATCCTTATAAAAAGGCAGAAATATGGTGTTTTATTAATAAACTTACATTTATGGATATAAAATTTAGCTAAAAGTATTAACAATTTTTTATAAAAAAAACATTTATCATTCTTCCTGGGGAACTTAAAGAAACAGAATAAAACATTTTCCCATCAGTAAAGAAAACTCCCTTAAAATATGGACAATAACAAAACTGCTAAATTCTTCCAGAATCTCTGTGTAGAGGAACCAAAAGAGATGTGCCACAGTTTCTGGATGATCCCCACAGAAAGTTCAATTAGTATTTATGTGTCTTTTAAATGTTACCATATAGTGACTGGCTGGGTAACATTTATGAAGAATTTTATATGAGATTTCCTTCACCTTGTTTACAATTAGTTATTTATGGGATCATCCATGTTATATTCTGGTCTCATTCACGACAGACTCCAGAATATCTATTTCCTACCCAACGGGGTAGTAAGTTTTATTAACAAGTCATGCGACTCAGATTGGTCCTCTGCCATGTACAACAGCAACATACAGCCTAACAATCCTTACTTGTGTGACACTCTAAAACGTCCGTGCAGCAACACAATCTATTGTGGAACAAACCATCTTGTAAACAATAATTCACATTATTACATCCCTTCTCTTTTTTTTTTTTTTTTTTTTTTTTTTTTTGAAAAAACAGAAGTCCTTTCTTGTTTTGATTTGTCCTTCTTCTCACTGAGGGAGAAAACAATATGAAACACTCAAAGAATACAAAAGCATTCCACTTATTCAAACATGTACATTTCTGTAAGCTGTAGTGAACATCAATATCCACAGAATACACAACTCTTCCCCTCAAACAATAAACAATAAATCCTCATTATGTAACATAGTCCTTGTACCGAAGTGGTGGAACCACTTTGCGGCCTGACCTTGTCCTGACACCCCCTGATACCTCGTCAGTCTTGATCTGCCGCTCACGAGTGTCTGAAGGAGCTGTCACTGAGCTGGTCAGTGCCCCGTGTCTGTTATGGCATTTTCTTGATCCATCACGCCTGCATGTCTCAGGTGCCTCCGATTCCTCCTCAGGACACTTCCAGAGTCCAACTGAACCTCATAGGACCTCGGGTCAACAGTCCCAATCACCACTCCCCTGCTCCAAGTGGAATGGCGGTCAAAAGGCTGAACTCTGACACTGTCCCCTAGCTTCAAAGAGTCCATGTCTCGTGCTGATCGGTCATAGCACAGTTTTTGGCGCTTCTGTTTCATCTCCAACTCCCGCCGGGCTGGAATGACTTTTGGCCTTAGCAGGCTCGTCCTGGTTGGCAAAAGCGTCTGTGTCCTTCTGCTGAGCAGCCTCTGAGCTGGGCTGGTCTCCAGGCCTTGTGATGGTGTGTTGCGATGGTCCAGAATCGCAAGATACGGGTCAAACCCCGCCATTTTTGCCTTTAGCAGCAGCCTCTTTGCTGTCTTCACTGCTGATTCAGCCTTCCCGTTACTCTGAGGGTAACCTGGCGAAGATGTTTTATGCTGGAAACCCCACAGTCGACTAAATCTCAGAAACTCACCGGACGTATACTGTGGTCCATTATCTGAAACAACAATGTCCGGGATGCCCTGTCTGGCAAAGTGAGCCTTCAGCTTTCTAATCACTGTGGTGGACTTAGTGTCCGGGAGATAGTCAATTTCCCAGAAGTTTGAATAGTAGTCCACTGTGATAAGGTAGTCCTTGTTGTCAAACATAAACAGGTCCGAGCCCACCTTAGCCCATGGTCTAGTCGGGATCTCATGTGGGACCAAGGTCTCTTTCTGCTGTCTGTAGTCAACTGACCTGCAGATGTCACACTTAGTCACATAAGTCTTAATTTGTTCGTTCATGCCTGGCCAATACACACACTCTCTGGCTCTCCTTAGACAACCTTCTACACCTAGGTGTGTCGAGTGTAGTCTAGTTATGATCTCCTGTCTCATGGTAGTCGGGACAACAACACGTTCACCTCTAAACACAAGTCCATCCTGACTACTCAGTTCATCCTGGAATGAGAAGAATGGTCTGATGTCACCGTCAGTGTCTCTTTTGTCTGTCGGCCAACCTCTGTGAATTGTATCTATGAGGATCTGTAGTGCTTTGTCGTCTTGTGTAGCAGTCCTTATGCTGTTTAGTCTGTCAGGTGAGATGGGTGCATGAGTGACCATGTTAATGCTCTCTATTTCCTCCTCTATGGAGCCCTGTGGTGAGCACTCTGGAAGATATGCCCTGCTCAACGTGTCTGCTAATAACATGTCTTTGCCTGGCACATACACCACATCTATGTCATATTTCTGAATGCGCATAAGCATCCTTTGCAACCGTTTGGGTGCGCTCAACAGTGGTTTTCTTACAATGGTCTCTAAGGGTTTGTGATCACTGTGTACCACCACTTTACGACCATATGTGTACTGATGAAACTTCTCCATGCTGAAAACTACAGCCAAAAGCTCCTTTTCGATCTGGGCATAACCTTGCTCTGTACGTGTAAGTGCTCTACTCGCAAAAGCCACAGGCTTACCCGTCTGCATGAGTGCTGCACCTAACCCTTTGTCAGAAGCGTCACATTGTACTGTCAGCTCTTCCTCTGGGCAGTAGTATTTCAGGACTGGAGCCTCTGCTATAGTCTCTTTCAGTCTCTGGAATGCGTCTTCATGTCGAGTCGTCCAGTTCCACTCACTGTCTTTGTGTGTCAGTTGTCTCAGTAAGTCGCAATGGTCAGACAGATGTGGGCAAAACTTTGCTAAGTAGTTCACCATACCTAACAGTCTCTGTACTGCCTTCACGTCTGTAGGTCTGGGCATTTTTTCTATAGCCCTAACTAGACATGGGTACCGGTGTCCGGTGCCATGATGGCACCGGTTCTGACATAAACGGTAGTAACCAGACCGAAAAGCAGCGCACATTTCGGTGCTTTATTTCGGTGCTTTTTTTTCCTGAGCTGTGATACACTTTAGATTCTAGCCAATCATTTTACGTTTCCGAGGATAGTAGGCGGGGCCAGGTACGTACGTTCTTTTAGAGCAGAGCTACAGATTAAAAATGTCCAAGGCGAAGCGGTCAAAAGTCTGGCTGTACTTCACAGCAAAATATGCAAACTCAGCAGCAACAAGTGCTTTAAGCTGATACTGTGATACTGTCAAAGGAGGTAACACCTCAAATCCGATGAAACACCTGGCGACGCATAGCGTTTTTTTTAAAAGCCCAGAAATGCGCCGTATTTGATAGCTTGCTGCGAGACCTCACACCGAGCACATCTACTGCGGGTGGGTTGCCTGTTATGCAACATCCCCCAAAAACACGAAGAGGAGAGTCCTGGCCCCTAGCCCTGCCAGTGTAGCAGAAATGATGACGGATGATGATGCAGCAGCAGCCGTTCTTCTCTGCGTGAGTAGCTTATGTTGTTCGGTGTAATTTACGTTGAGTAGGCTAACCACGTTATTACATTAATGCATGTAAGGTGAACTAGCAAACATCATCATAGCTACATGCGGCTGTCTTCTTGTTTGATGGCAGATACTCCCTTCACCCTGGCCAAAAAGGCTAAAATGACCAAAGAAAAAGTGGAAAACAGTTAAACATGAGAGGTTTTTGGACAAAGTTTGTGTTTTTTCCATTGTTTAAGCACTGCTTCCAGCCAAGAGTGATACCATATATGCCCCATAGCTGCAGAAAAGGCTAACATTGTTATCTTTTTACAAAAAACAGCTGAACATGAGAGGTTTTTGGACCAATTTTGTGTTCTCCATTCTTTAAGCACCGGTTTGAGCACCGTTTGAGCACCGGCACCGTTTCAAAAGTACCGATTTGGCACCGGTATCGGATAAAACCTAAACGATACCCATCCCTAGCCCTAACCTTCTCCGGGTCTATTTTCAGACCGTTGCATGTCAGCTGATGTCCAATGTACGTAGTCTCCTTCTGTTTAAGTTTGAACTTGTCTGCGTTCAACTTAATGTTTTTCTGCCTGCAACGAGTCAAAAACTGTCTCAACTTCTCGTCATGGTCACGTACTGCTTCAGCATCTGTGTCCCCCTGACCCGTGATCAGCACATCATCTGCAATGATGTAGATCCCTGCCAGTCCATCCAAAGCTTGTGTGAGCTTCCTCTGGAACACTTCCGGAGCTGGACTTATCCCCATTGGCATCCTCAGCCATCTGTAGCGTCCAAATGGAGTCGAAAATGTTGTCAGGTAGCTCGACTCCTCCTCCAGTTTCACGTGCCAGAATCCACTCTTCACATCGCAGACAGAGAACACTTTAGCCTTTGACAGATCTGGCAAAATGTCCTCAATGGTGGGCAATGGGAAGTGGCTCCGTTGTAGGGCTTTGTTTAAGGGTTTTGGATCTATGCACACTCTTAAGTCCCCACTCTGCTTTTGGACCACAACCATCCCACTGATCCAGTCTGTGCTGCATTCTACTGGTGTAATGATCCCTCTGCGCTGAAGATCTTGAAGCTCCTTTTTTAACGGCTTTATCATTGCAATAGGGACACGCCGTTTTGGTAACTGCACTGGTTTCACAGTTTCATCCACCTCGAGCCTTAACTCTCCCTCCAAACAGCCATCTCCTGTGAAGACATCGGCATACTCTGTTTTAATCTGATCCATGTTCCACTCATTGGCTGTTGGGTGCTCTGAAGTAACGATGCTGTCCAGTTTCAAGATGTTTTCATAGTGTACTTTTATGAGTTTCATCGCTTCGCTGGCTCTCTTGCCCAGCAGTGGTACTTTACAGTCTTTGTCAACCACTTGAAACTCCAACCGATACAGTTTCTGATTTCTCGGGTTACGTAGCTTAACTTTGCATTTTCCCAACGGCTTTATCTTACTTTTGTTGTACATCATCAACACTGTCTGTGTGTCCTCCAACTGTGTGTTCGGGCTTAGCATGTGGATTGGCATTACATTACAACTGGCACCACAGTCAATCTGAAAATTTACAATCTCTTTGCCCATCAGCATGCCTGCAAAGAGTTGAGTGCCTCTCACTTTGTCAGTGTTCTTTGTAGTTGAAGCATGTGTGTCTGCCTCTGTAACACAGAGAACGTCCTCATACTCATCACTCTCACATGCTGTCACGTTGTGTACATTCGTCCTTCTCTTCTGCTCTGAATGTGCCATGCATTTAACTGCAAAGTGGTTTTCTCTGCCACACTTTTTACATTTCTTCCTGTATGCTGGACATTTTTCTTTCTTTTTTTCATGTGTTCTGCCACAAAACTTACAGTCCACTGCGTCGCCGATCCGTTTCTGGCGCGCAGCTCCACGCACAGCATGCACCTCCTCCACTGCAGCTCCCGAAATGGTTTTGCTGTTTTCCCGCGACAGCTCCGCGGCTCTGCAGTGCTGTATGCATGCATCCAGTGTCATGTTTTTCTCACGCAGCAGTCTCTCCCTCAAACTCGGGTTGTTAAGTCCACATACAATCCTGTCACGAATCAGTGAGTCCCTTATTACTCCAAAATTGCACGTTTTGAGCAGCTTTAACTCCGTCACATAGCTGTCGATTGTCTCACTGGCGCCTTGGTTTCTCGTGAAGAACCGATAACGCTCCACAGTTTCATTAACTACAGGATTGCAATGATTGTCAAACTTCTCAATAATGTCCTTAACTGTCCACCGATCTCTCGCCGTGTCGCCCATTAGCGTGTCTAGCAGCTCCCTGCTCTCTCTCTTAAGTCTATTAAGTGAGATCAGCTCATTCAGTTGTTGTTGATTTCAGCTGATTTCAAGAGGAAGGAGCTGCAAATCTGAACACTCTTTTTTCCCAACATAACTCTTTTGACACTGAGTTGGTAGTGGGGTATGTTCCTACACCTTTCATGACAACTATCCTCAGCCACATATTCCTGGATATATATAATAACACCATCAACTTCCCATTTCACCATCATTGGCTTCTTTGATGTGACTTAGTGTTGACTCTGTGTACCTGTGAAACTCCATGACATTGGGTAAGAGGGGTTTATCATGTCATATGTGAGAGAATTTAGAGTAACAGTACTCCACAGTCACTCCACAGCTTACTGCCATTCCCCGGCTGTAACCTGCATATGCATCACATTAAACCTAAATCCTGTACCATAGCCACATGATGGGCATGAAGATGAGGTTCAAAGGGCTGTGTCATGTTGCCAGATAGCTTCATCCCCACAAACATAAACATTCTTCAAAAAACAAAGGTTGTAAATATTTGCTGTATTTACAAGCACATGCAAACAAACAAGACAATAATAAAAGAAAGAAATGTCAACATTTTACAAATGATACACTGAATGTAAAAACCAAATATGAGCACAACTCCACATGTACAATTGTCACTTCATATAAACATGACAGATGACATATTATAAGAAGTATAAACATATAATATACAATATGATCTGAAGCTGGTACTGGTGTATTTAAATTCCTTTTCTTACCCTAATCATCTGATACAAGATGCTACTTACTTTTTGTGCAGTATTTACCTTAACATGCACTATGGTATAATAGCCCACTCACTTCTATAGTGCTGGTGATGTAGACAATAATGTCAGTTGATATGTAAAACTAGGAGAAGTAGACCACAAATGGGAGATATCGAGTGCTGGGAACACATTCTGTCTGATATTATTAATCTATCAGATTCTTGAATGTTTTATGTACTTAAGCCACAGTTAGAGAGTGAAACAGAGACTGACACTGGCTGAAATGTGTAGTAAATATTTTATTTTGAACTTTTATGAAGAAATACAAACTTTGAACTTTGAACTCTGGGCTGCTTTACTGTGTGTAATATTGCAAAGCACACTTTGCCTTTGTCAAGCAAACAACAACAACAACAATCACACACGCACACACAAACTCACAAACGTATAAAAACGATCACACAAAGAGGGACACAGAGGATTGAGACACAAGAGGAAC